CTTTCCCTGGAGAGGGCGGCGGGGAGGCGCTATCCCCGTCCCCTGCCGCCGGGGAGGTGGCGGTCCCTCGGGGGTGCCCGCACCGCCGCCGCGCCGCCCGGGGAAGGGAGCCCCCCGTGGACCGGCCTCCTGCACCGCGGGGAGGAGGGCTGGCAGCAGCTGTGCGCCCGATAAATAGAGCAGGCGTAATGGGAGAAACTTTCGGGACGAAATGGATTTTGAGTGGATTAAATGTTTTAATTGCGTGGTGCGTGTTGATGCTGTATCCATGCTGTTGGGAGCGACGCCGTGCGCTTCCCTCAGTTAACAGCCACGCTTTCTCTCTTTGTTCCCGTCAAACTACGAGCACACGGGTGAACTACTCCGAGAAAAGGTTTTTGCTCTTAAAGCAGCTGCTTTGCTCAGCCAGGGAGCTCCAGCCTCTCAGGTTGCACAGCTCCAGGTTACTGACTTTATCTGAATTTGGGAGCAGCGCCATATGGTCTCCAAAGCGAGGAGGGGCACTGGTGTGGCAGGGTGCATTGCCTGTCCCTGTGCGTGTGCAGGAATTGGGAATCTGCGGGGACCGGAATGTTGTATTGCAAAAAGAGAAAGCTACAGAGCAATTTTTGTAGCAGCTCTAATGGTCAGCTCTGTTCCAGAAGCCAAATGATTGGAGCTGTTTTCCTAGACCGTGCAAAGGCGGACTGCAATGTTTGCAGGGGTGCACTGGAGCTATTTTTCTAGATTTTCTATTTCTCTGTATAAAAGTATTAAGTACAACATTTTCAGGAGTGCAACTGTTGATTCAACAAGCAAATAAATAAGAAGAGACTGAAGATGGGTACATATAGTAGCTTATCATTCTTTGGGCTTACAAAATAAAAAAAATCATATTCTGCCTGGCTTTTACTGCAGTTTTCCATTCATAACCTCCTTTGCTTGCCGTTTATACCAGCAGTTGATAATAAGACCACTCACAGTAGTGTCTGAGAAGCGAAGGCAGAGTAGTAGTCCAGACAGAAGGCTGGCTCTGGAGCATCCAGAGAGACCCATCCAAGTAAAGGTGTCTAATGGGTGAAAAGCTCCAGCCTTAGTACCTCCACTGATCCAAGCACACTGATATATCACTCAGTGTGCTTGGATTGCAGGCTCTTTTTCATCTGCCTCAACAACCTCATGAGCCCGTGAATACAGCAGTGGAATTTCAGCTGCACTTGAGGCATGCAAAGTGACCTCCTGAACACTGGTCCCATCTCAGTTCTATGGGTTTTGTTGTCTCATTTCTTGAATTGCTGAGATTTAGGGCCTAGTCCATTAACTGCTATCTCCATGTGTCTATCTGTGATGTTTGTATGAATTCCTTGCATGGGGGAATGTGTAAGACCTTTAATTTGATTAAGTGAAGCGAATTGGGCTCTTTTGGCAATTGACAGTGTTTGCTTGTCAAATGCAGAAGGAAATTATAATGTTTATAATTTTCTACATAAGTTTATAAATACTTCACCCTCCCCACTGATGCATCTGTTTGTATTGCTTGAAAAGAACAATAAGAAACAGAAAAACAGTGATTTGCTCTAGGTTTTAGAATTTGTCTGTGCCAAAGTTTTACCTTAGCATCCAAGAATTTCTTGTATTTATCTCTGTGCTCCATGAGAAATTCTGCCTTTACTTCCTCTTTTGAAGTACAAAATTATGTTTAGGTATGTTCCAGTAACTATGAGAGGCACTGAGAAAAAAAAAAAAATGTAAGGTTATATGAAACCTCATCTCCTCTCCCAAGCCAGCTTTCCTTTAAAAAACTTTTTTACTGAATTAGAGCTGTAACCATTCACTTACATGTGTTTCTTTCAGATTTTCAACCAACATAATGCTGAAGCTCCCAACTTGGAACAAGTATTTCACAGAATGGCACAAATGGAACCTAATCTTGACCATGACGTATCATGGTTCCTCCTTCCATCGTACTGGGCTAAAATGGTTGTGGCATTAATTTCCTTCCTCTGTTTTGCTAACAGCTATGATGGAGATTTTGTCTTTGATGATTCTGAAGCCATCATCAATAATAAGGTTTGTCTCTCTTCTTTTCCTTACACCCTGTGGCATAAATGGTCATAGGAAAAGAAATAATGCAACAGTTGATCTAAATAGGCCTAAAAGTTTCAGCCTAGTAAAGAGCTTCCTTTGAGTATTACTTTTTTTTTTTTAAACTTCATTTTTCTAGTTTTTAGTGTTTTTTAAAGTTAAGTTTGATTTAAGGGTATCTGTACATCAAGTCTGCCAGTAGGTCTAATTTTATTCTCATTCCTAAGTCAGTGAGACTGTACAGTAAACTTTTTTGATACCCATGAATGTTAATAGGAGATTTTGTTCATTATCTTCTCAAGGTCACAGAATAAGACCAGTGATTAAACTTAGTCTGGTTGCAGGTACATAAGGCATCATTAAGGTATTGTAGGGTGCAGGGGGTCTTCAGGTGTAGTTTATACCGTAAAAATGTTACAGGAGCAAGCAAAACTCCTTTTTTCCCTCCTCCCCCACCTTAAAGTTCCTGTGACAACAATATTTTTTTAAGATTGAGGTAGAGTATTCTTGTGTTCCATTTTAAAGCTGACCATACATGCAATGAAAAGACCTTGAAATGCTTAGAAATTAACACACGATTGAAAGAAACCTCTAGCTGAGATTCTTTTGACTTTGAGCAGTGGAGTGTCTTCAGTTGCTGGGACACTTCACAGGATCACATGTAGCAGTGAGTGAGGCTGTGCCCATGGATGGGTATTGGTGTTACAGCTTTTATGCTGTTCTGGAAGGTACTTGTTAGACGTTTAGAAAGAAAAAGCACAGGATAAAAATAATTGCATTCATCTGTTGGTTCAGTCTTCCTGAAGCCATGGGGTTACAAAGAGAATAATCCGGAGACTCATACTGCAAGAAGAACACAATTCACTTTTTTTTTTTCTTTGCACAAGATATAGAGGCAACTTATCACAATGTGCCTTTTAGAATCATGCAGAATTACTGTTTCCTTAGACAAATTTCTATTATGTGTGTGCAAGTCATCATACCTTCAGTTATAAATGTATGGGAGAAAAATAACATCTGTCAACATGGAAATAAATCTCAAAGCTTTCAAGAGAATACTGTAGACAAATTAAGAACTTATAGCATTGTTGTTTTGAGTTTTTTTAAAGTAGTATTGTATTTTAGATTGCACAGCTCCTGGCAGTGTTTCATTCTTCACAGTTTTATTTGCAACCTGTTTATAATATTTTAATTTTGTGAAAGAATGAACAAAAGACTGATGTTGAAACAAGGCAGGTTGTTTTCTTAATATGCAATTTCCACAATTGGAATCTCCCTCCATTTCTTTCAGTCTTTACTCTAAAAATGTTTCAATTTATCTATGCAACCCAACAATTAGCACCAGGATTCTAGCTGTTGGCAATGCTGAGAAATTCAACCAACTGCTTAAATAAATTAATCCATATGTAGTCTGTATGTTTGAAAAACTGGGAAGCTTATTCTATTTTTCACATCAAAATCCTCTATTCTTCCCTAGAAATGAAATGAGGATTTTGTGACAATATCATTTTAACACAGGGGTCATATGGGTATATCAAAATTCAAAATCCACAAGAAAAATGCAGAGACAATGAGTTTACCAGTTTAATGGGAAGAGAGATATCTAGCAATGGCACAGTTTATTAAACAAAGCATAGCATACTTTATTCCTATTTAATAGGAAAGACAGCAGTTGAAGTAATTTTAGATTTACTGAGCATTGCTACTGTAGCAAATTTTCTTGGGTACCTCACAGTATCCTTTCTCTTAATTTACTAGCTGCCATCATCCCAATCTTTCATTTCTTTTATTTTTTTTTGAGAAAAGATACACGTGACCCCATGCCTATCGTATCATGGAACATTCCGTTATTAGATTTTATTGGAGATAAAGGCTGTTTTCCAGATGCTTTCTTATAATTTTAAGCAGCATTTTAAGCATTTTTAATTGGTAAACAACAGTGGCTTTTGTCTTTATTTATTTACTAGCTCGGCAAGACAAACAGTTGGATTAAGTAGAGCTTCAGACACAATATGTCATTTCTATAAGCCTTTATATAGAAAAACTGACCTTTCTTCAAATCTTGAACTCTGCTGTCTGTAAGTTGCTACTAATCAAATATTTAGAGATTATTTGATAGCTACTTTTGGTTTTTAAAGAGAAAATCATATATAGCTTTTGAACAGCTGTGTCTCTTGGAGCAAACTGTTTCTATTTTAGGCTAAGTTCACGAAGTAGGAAAATTAATGTAAGAAACTTTCTTACAGAACTTGGATACAAGGGCAAGATACATGATTGAAGATTTTTAGGTCGTATGGAAGTATAATCTAATCACTAAGTAATTCCATGCATTCAGCTTTTCCTGCATTCTTCCGATGGAAGACAAAAGAAGGCTGATTATAGCGGAACCAGAAATCAAGCCTTGTACATTTCCCTTCTCAAGTTATTGAAGACCATCTGTGTGACGTGGAAGATGTACTTTTTTCAGTACTAACATTTATAAAAGTATGTCTTTCATGTGAGAAGAAAGACCTTATGTACATAAGGGGCAGTGCTGCTGGTTGGAAAAGCAGTCTGAGGGTCACACCACCCTCTGACAAGTGTCCCCTGCAGAGTACAAAGACTTCAGTGGATGCTGCTGTCCATCCCTGTCCCAGCTTGCCCCTGGAAAAGCTGGCTGTATTGATTTAGTGAGCTGCTGGTTGAGTGTGTTCCTGCTCTGAGAGTCAAATTATGACCTTTAGGGTTTGTGCATACCAATGAGGAATGGAACAGGAATTTAGGTGCCTAAGGCTAAAATAGCAGTCCTGGGAGAAAAAAGAAATTTCTAGCTATTACTTGGCAGTAGAAACATCTGTGAGAGCGTGAAGGAATTTTTCACCTTGGTAATTTTTAAGCCCAAGTAGGATCCCCTGTGAGTCTTGATTTCTTAAGAAATTCCCTGAGAGTGCCTTAATTGACAGCTGCAGTCTAGGTTGTTTTCAGACTACAGTTTTAGCCCTGCTCTCTTTTCTGTGTATTGATTAGTAACCTGCTGGAGAATACTTCAGTTCATTTGACTGTGTGCTAAGAACTTTAGCCTATTTCCTTCCTAATTTTTTTTCAATCAGCTGTCTAATACTAGCCAAATTTGATCAAGTGATAGAAATAAATCTCTTCTTGCATTGCTTTTTAATTTGTATTTTTGGATGGATAAAAGAATATGTTAAGACTATTCTTGTTAAAGAAGCAAGAAAAAAATTAGTTATTTTAAGTTTAGTTTAGCAGCTGCCAGTCATCAGGATCCAGCAATTTGGCTGTAATTTGGGAGTATGTGCAAGCCAAAAATACTAGCTAAGGATGTGATGGAAGGTTCTGGAGACCACAGGAGTGCTCAAGATACTATGGAAGCAAGTGAGAATTAATAAACTGAGTTAATTGCAACGTGAGAATCTTAAACAGGTGGAGTTGTAGGAACAATAAGACAGGGCCACCAGGGTTTGTAAGACCTTTTGTGGGGTTAGCCAGCCTGTTTGTCTACTTGTGTTTGCAGTGTCTTGTTCACCAGCTGTAGTTCATTGGTCTCAAATAATTTCAAGACAGAAGGTGGGAGTAGAGTAACTTGTTGATTGCAGGAGTAGTACTTTGTTCTTAGGTTCTGTCTCAAATGTCTTTAACCTGCCTGTCCTTTGCTGTAGCATAAATTGGTATTTAATTGCACTGGGGAAGCAGAAGAAGGGCAAGTATATGTTAGTTTTAACTTCCAAGCTTGTCCTCATAGAAAACTGAGGCAGATGCTAGCAAGATCCTTCATTTTTCCTCCAAAGTGCATGCTTTCCATTTAATAGCCTACATTATTTGGATTTTTCATTATTAGTATGGCTTTGAGATAAAAGGGAAGAGCAAGAAAGCAAGACATTTTCTTTGCAGTGTTTTTTTATAGGCCCCTATTGCACCCCAAATTAAAATAATTCATTACCTTTCTGTCTTTTAATCTTTTTGAGTAGTATGTAGAGATGTTGATTCTTGATTTCATGTATTAAAACAACCTCTACTATTTGAATAGTTCTGTGCAAGGCAAGGCTTCAAAAAATAGCTAATTTTTATTTCCTACCTTAAGCCTCCTTGATTTCATGTTTTCATTAGTGGTTATGCTACTGCACTGGTAAAAAATGGCTATTTTGCAGCAGTTTGTAGTTGACCTTCTTTGCAAGTAAACCTACACCTAAAATCAAAGGCTTTTTAACAAAATTATAAGGTAAAGAGGTTTATCTGTTTCATATCTCGGCTATTGACCAGATTATAAACTGATGTGGATATAACTCTAAATTTCATGTAGTTATGCCTACTTACAGAATCCAGGATCATGGCCTTTACAGTGACAGCCATTCAAGATGTGACCTTCATTGCAAACTTAGGGGCAAATGCTGGTAGTGAGCCAACAAAACTCCTGCTATGTCCATCTTAGTGTGAGCTTGTATTAGTCAGAACTTGTTTGTGGTTTAGCTGCTTTGAACAAAGGAAAAATTTTAAGAATCTGGTACTTTCTTTTCTTTTAGGACCTCAGGGCAGAAACCCCGCTTGGTGACCTGTGGTATCATGACTTTTGGGGTAGCAAACTCAGCAGCAATACCAGCCATAAGTCATATCGACCGCTAACTGTCCTGACTTTCAGGTGAGACTTGTATTTTTGCTCAAGGTCTGAATATTTTTTAACCTATATTGTCTCAGTTGAATTTAGGGGGAAGGCAACAGAAAAGGCAAGAACAAAGTAGCTGGAGGGTAGTTGGATACCTTTCCATACGATTCAATACGATTTTTGAGTTCACTACCTTAATCTCAAATTATGTTTTAATTTTCCAATGGTTTCTTTCCAAAAATACTAATTATTTTGACATTCTGTATTTATATCTACTTTCTGTAGATTTTGTCTTAATGGACTTCTATACCTGGTACTAGGGGTGGTGTGGTTTAGTATGTCACACTATCAAGGAACTAGGAGGTATATGTTCCCTTCACTTAGCCATGCTGCCACTTAGGCTGCTATTGTAGTTTTTGTTCTCTGCTTTCCTGTTGACCTATCAAATTGTATATTTTATGAATAGTATCAAGGTACTGTGGCCTTTTTCTGTCAGATCACTCTATAGTATTCCCACCTCTTCACTCCAGTATTCTAACTCGAGGGTCTGAGAATCTAGTGAAATGTCTGCCAATATATAACTGGCTGGTTCTGTCAAATAACTAAAGGTTTAAGAGGATTACTTTTGTAGATGCTTAGCTCATGTTTTTTGCACAAAGATTTGAGCAAACAGTAGACCTTGTAGAAACCTGGTACAGTAATGCAGAGAATATTTGAGGAAGCCTTAATTTCTTTATTTTCCCCCTGTGACTCAATGGTGTCAATGGGGACTTGGTGCTCCTTCTGCTGTTGCCCATTCCAAACCAGGGACTAAGTAAGTGTTGAAGAAATGTTCCCACTCTTAGTCCTCATATTCAAGCAAAAACTTTGACCCTTTAGGGGAATGTCAGTGTTTTAAGTACCTAGCACTGTGGGTTTCACTGTCTATTGGGCTTTCTTCACATTTTCATCAAGAGAAGTAAGCAACTGAATAGAATATGTCAGATTCCTAAACCTATAAAAGCTTTCAGTGCTTTATACAGAACTTGCTTTCCTTTTTTTTTTATTTTTTTCTTCTTGTCTCTGTGGTACATTCCATCTCTAATAACATTCTGGTTTGTTTAAAGAGTGAACTGGGATATAATCATTACTATATCTGAAAGTGTAGATGAGCCTGTGGAGATGGTCCATAAAATGGTATTTTCACAAGTAAGAAATGGATTTCCTTAATTTCCCTAAGCTCCAACCTTTATGTGTATCATATTTATAATAGGTTAAGTTTTTAAATAGGTTTTATTTATGCCAAATGCAGATTAACCAAAATAACTGTGTAAAATTCCCTATTCAAACTGGATTTCTGTGTACCTTACCTACCTAAAAAGCAAAAGGATAATAGCACAATGTTTCCCCCTCTTCTTCTCAGCCTCCATTTTACTGCAGAGTTCCTGTGTTGAATAGGGATTTAGACTGAATTTTCACTTGCTCTTCCTTCTGATTCTAATACTTGTATGAAATGTCTCTCTAATCAGTCTCAAATCAGTTACCAAGATGTGCTGACTACTTTCTGGGTAGACACTGATTGTACCCACATGCTAGGACCTCTTTCAGAGAGTACATCAGTGGAAATCATAGTCCCAGTGCATATTAGTTTCCTCACTGTGTGCATTTAATTAACATAATTTCATCAAGTTGGCTGCTCTTAAACCCGGGGGTATCCCTCAGTGGGCTGGGTTGTTTATTCCCAGGATACTCCTGTGTTGCAACAATGAAATTACACTGTTGACCAAGAGCCAGTAACTATAGGAAAGTCTAAGTAACTATAGGAATGATTAACATAATGGTAGGTAGGTGTGTGTTTGGAGAGGATAGATACTGTATCCATGTGACATTCCCTATGAATACCTTGGCCTAAAGACTGGGATATTGTTTCTATCTTCTTTTTGTGGCTAAATTATAACACCAGGTGTACTGAGATATCTGTTTTACTTTTGTGTGCAAATGTCTGCTATGGGGTTGTTTAGTTTTTCTATTTGTATTTTTCTAAGCATTGTTGTAATTCCTAGCCTTAATATTTTTGTTTCTATACAGAATTAATTACCTTTTTGCTGGAGGCTTCTACCCAGTTGGTTTCCATGTCATCAATATAATACTGCATTGCATTATCTCAGTGTTGATGGTTGATGTGTTCTCCATATTATTGGGTGGATTGCAATTCAGTAGTAAAGGAAGACGGCTGAACCTGGCTCCCAAGTCCTCTCTTCTTGCTGCTTTGCTCTTTGCTGTACATCCAGTGCACACCGAGTGTGTAAGTATTGAATAATTATCTCCAGAGATTTTTATTTTAGAAGTTCTTGACCATCTTGACTAATTAATTCTGGCGTAGCCTTTTACTCTACAGATTGCTTTTATATATTCTTAACACTTCTCTTGGCACATGTCTTAATAGAACAATCAAATATTATGGTTAGTATCTCCAAGGCTTGTAATTCCACCGAGCTAGACCTTATTAAGGAAGATAAATCATTCAGGTATACAATAACTAAAGGAGGATAGCACTGCACTACAAAGTTTCCCTACCTCCTGGATTTCCCTAATTACTTTTCATTTCCATTTGCATTGATTAAAAAAAGCAGAGAGTTTTAAAATTGGAGTAGGGGCACTCTATGAACTTTGTATGTGACTGTTAGAATGCTGCATTCAGTTTTGCATCCAAGCTGCAAGGAAAAACACTGGAAAAAATGGAGAGTGCTCAGAAGAGCCATGAAAATGATTAAAGGGCTGGAAATCATCCTATTTCATGAGAGATCAAACTGGGTTTATATTTTTAATATGAAGGAGAAGATTAAAGGATTTTTTTTTAATCACAATCTGCAATTATTTACATGGGGAGCACAAATTTGACAGTAATAGGTCCTTTAATAGTGCAGGCAAAAGCAAAGATGTGAAGATGCAGAAGAGAAGCATGGCACATGTATAGCAGCCAGTTAAAATATCTGACCAAAACACGAAGTCCTTGGGTGGGAATCCTGTGAAGAGAAGATGGTGTTATTAAAAAGCTCTCTTGTGCTCATAGTTAAGGAAATCTTATGGCCTTATGCTAGTGGGCTTGCTGAATGTCATCACTGATTTCTTGATCTTGTGATAATGAATAAATGAGATATAAAATTATCAAAATTAGGGATTTTTTGGGGGTTTTATTAGAATTTGGAAGGTCTGAGCTACAGAAAAAGTACTACCTTTAATTTTGATTTTGTCCTCGCAATGAACAGTGAATCCTACAGTTCACATTCTACATATATGGCACTGATTTTTCATTTATTCGCAGTATGCCATGGTTTTGGCTTTTTGCATTTGCTCTGCACACAATTGGTGAGGAAAAAGTTATTGAAAGCTGTGCTCTAAGCTGATGAAGACCTTGCATCTATTGAAGACCTAGAGATGGTGCAAAGTTATGCATTAGTAATTTGACACCTTTTCTGGCAGTGTGGCTAAAATGTCTTGACAATCATTCTCTGGTGTTCACTCGCCTGCACAATAACTTCTTTGTGAGAGTGCACCGTGTCAGAAGGGCCCCTCATATTTGCTCTCCAAAACCAGTTTTAGATGTCAGAGAAAAGTAAAACAAGTCTTCAGTGCTTTTGATGTTCTGACATATAAAGAGAAATCTCACTTGAGTCTTAACTTTGTAGTAGACCTACTAGTGACCCCTTTATTAATATCCATAAATTTATTCTTCATTCCATTTGACTCTAAGAATATATTTAAATCAGCATGAGAATATTAATAAGCCTTTGTCATGTCAAATAAATTACAAGTGATGTGGTCCGCTTGCATATTTGACGACTTGCAAATGTTTCAGGCAAACAGTGTAAGAAGAGGGGGGAAAAGTAGCACACTTATATTTCAGGCCTCTTCTAAAATCCAGGAATGAAAAAAAACCTCTAATCATTTGCATGGTGAATAATAAATCTTGCTCCAGTGAAGAAGTCATTATACTGCTACAGTTCTAGGATGAGTGTGTGTCTGGCAGCATCTCTTAAAAAGCGTTCCTTATGATTTTAAACCTGTTAGTTTTAAGTATCCGACATCCTGGTTTTGAAATGAGATGACATATTTTGACATAAAATTGTGAAGAATCCGTCTGTTTGCTGCTTTGGGTTTTGGTTTATACAGTGAAACAAACTGTCATATAAAACAGATATTGAAAGGTGTAATGCTCTCAGTACCTATGTAAGGAAAACACTAAATTTTTCTACCTACAAGTGAATAGTCTTGTGCTATAGTTCTCTGCTCTAAAAAAAGGCCTGTTCTTTGTAACACTTCATGTCGAAATGCTAAATGAATCATGGACATAAGAATATATCTGATACTAATTTAAAACTGGTTTGTTTTTTTTCCTTTGTTTGCTTTCTTACCAGAATCTATATGCCTTGTCTTGCATTTTAGGTTAACATTTTGCTGTTGGAGTCATCTGAGGCCATGTGCTTTATCAGCCCCTTAATCTCTTTGCTGTAACAAGTGGACATTTATTTTCGAAATTGTGTCAGCTCACCCTAACTTTTATCTCATTAGGAAGAACGGCTCCTGAAGCAGAATGACACTTCATTTTTTTCACCTTTCAAAGCACTCCACAGCTATTGAGTTAATTCTCATAATTCCTTTGTATGATAGAAGAGGAAGCAGCAGAGAAGTCAGGTGCACAGCCGTAGATAAATCAAGAAGTTCTTCTGAACTGAATTTAGGAGTCCAACAGTTTCTTCTTTTACAGTGCTCAAGTGAAGCTGAGAGTAAAAGTGGGAGAGAGTCTCTGCAGTGGACTCAGTCATACTCTCATGCCTATACACTTCTCTTTCTCTGATGTTATTTAGAAATAGTTGCTCCATCATGCTACCCTGACACAAAAACTACCCTTTTCTTTTTTACTTTCCTTTTTCTGTTCCATACACAAAATGGGACAACTGGTATATTATGCAAGAACTGAAGTTCCTGCTTTTGTCCCTGAAATATGATCACAAAAAGTGATTTTAAAGAGAAAACCTGTAGCAGTTCTGCCCTGCTTCTGAACATCTCCCGAAAACATGGAACTCAGGACTCCAGGAAGCAGAGCTAGACTGAAAAATAAGGGGCATTTCCATGATCCTTGCTCTGGGTGTATGTTCTAGTGAGTTTCCAACATCAGGGCCTGTACAGTCCCATACCAGCTCCATGTCATGATTTTCACAAAAATTTTGTGGTGTTATCCTGACACTTGTGTAATTAAGAATTGAAGATCCAAAAGTGTCTTGCTCTGTCTCAGCAAGTTATTGTAAATACAGTTTAGGGGCTTTAACCAAAGCTTACAGATAGCCCTGAGATTGCACTTGATTTAAATAGGTTGGCACAGATCTTGAGTACAGAGGTCCCAGGATGTGCTTCTCGTTTTCTTTTGCATTAGTACAACCTCTGTTTCAAGATGCAGTTGATGGTAGCTCTCATGCAGTCAGTTAATATAGCACAAAAGACTGCCAGAGGGGGATGATTTTTTTTTTTCCCCTGAATCTGCAAGCTGGAAGCTATTTGTCCATTCTGAGTGTTCAGACTGTAATTTGAAGGCTGGCTTGTCTTCCAAAAGTGAACAGTTTTGATTTGTGTTTCAGCAGAGCTGCCAATTTAATTGTGGTTCAGGATGTTTGGCTTCCAAGCCATGTAATGGCTTCAATTTGAAAGAGAGTAGATTTAGATTAGATATTAGGAGGAAATTCTCTAGTGTGAGGGGGGTGAGGCACTGGCACAGGTTGCCCAGAAAAGTTAGATGCCCTGTCCCTGGAAGTGTTGAAGGCCAGGTTGGATGCAGCTCTGAGAAACCCAGTCTAGTGAAAGGCTGGGGGGGCTGGAAGGAGATGGTATTTAAAGTTGCTTCCAACCCAAACTGGTTTATATTTTCATGTTCTCCAAGTGTTCTGCTGAAATGCAATTTGATCCAAAAAACAGATGGAATTGTGTAGAGTCTAAATTTTATTCAGTGAAGTCCTCCTTCATTTCTTAAAAAAAGATTCCATAAACTAAAATTTTCATAAACCAAAGCCAAACCATTTATGTAGTTGATACTAAGCAATACCCAGTAAAAAACAGGATGCATCTTAAAAACTGGATATAACTAATCCAATAAACCAAGTTAAAGAAAAAAAAAGTGATACAGTTATATTCTATTATATATTTCACTTTTTATGTGTTCCTTTACTTCAGGTTTTTTAAGAATAAAAATCTGATAATTTTTTTTTTTTTAAAGGTTGCTGGGATTGTTGGCAGAGCTGACCTACTGTGTGCCCTGTTCTTCTTGTTGTCATTCCTTGGCTACTGTAAAGCATTTAGAGAAAGTAAGCATTCTGTTTGCCCCTTTTATCCTATTGCATATATTTTCAGCATTTGTACATTTCAGTGGAGCATAGCAAAATTTAAAATGACAGATTGATTTGTTTACCCTCATGTAATATATTTTTTTAAAAAAAAACCTGCTTTAGCAGCTATTTATTGTTATAAATTTTGGAAAGGTTGCTGTCCCTAATTCTTGTTAAATACTGAATTTAATTTAAGAAAAGTCCACTTTATGATAGGCTTATTTGCTAAATGTTTTATTGTTTAGAAGTTTAATGATAAGTATTTTAGAAATAAATCAAACCTACAAATGTATATGCTTAAATATTTTACTACTCTTTATGCCATTATGTTGGGATGTCAACTTTTCGGAACATTACTTGTATTTTTAATGAATTGCAAAGATTTATTCCTGTGACTAAGCCTTCTAAATTCCTGCAATATGCAAGTGCTGGCATATAATGCTGAATATAGAGTTATTCATAGAGTTTTTGTAAGACAGCTGTGTTTAACACAAACAATTACTTGGCAGATGTTTTTTCAAGTGAGCTCTCAGATCTCTGGTGTTATTTGATCCGAATGCAGGTTGGCAGTTCAGATACAGTTGTGGAGAAATTATCTTGGGGGCTCTGTTAAATAAGCACACAAGAGAGCACGAGTTCATGACTGTGAAAAGCTATGCAGGACATGCAGTCTGGTATCTGAATGTGCTCCAGCACAGGAAATAGGGACTCACTGGGTGAGCCCACAGGGAGCTGTGTTGTGAAGAGCTTGTCTGTCGTTCTATTATTCTATAATCCTATTGATTAGGCCATGATTAATGATTAACCAGAGCTGGCATGGTATTCTAGAGGTGCCTGAGCTGATCTGGCTTAACAGCATAGTTATGGCATCACAGGGACCTCGGTGTGGGTTAGTCCACAGTGAGCTGTGAGATGCTGTGAACAGCTCCTGCTGGTTCAGTTTAGGTTATTTGGAACTATTGTGCATATTTCTATTGCTGATACAATAGGTTTATCTTCCCTTTTCAAATGTTACTTAGGATGATTCCTGTTTTCTTCAGATATATTTTTCTTCCCTTTGAGTAGGTTTAATTTCTTTCAACTGAGCTAATGATTTCTTGATGAAAATTGGTTTCTTGCTTGTTTGTTTATTCTTTTCTGACCTATTTTATTGGATACGATTGTGCTTATGATGTTTCTTTTATTAGTGGTAGAGTGAGACAGACAAATCAAAATATTGCCGTATCTGTTTTCCAGTGTCTTGGGTAGACAGGTAGGCTTATATGGCAGGGGTAATAATCTTTGCTTGAAGAACTCAAGAGCCAAATTCTTAGGATGACTGCTGGAGACAATTATATAGGACTCTCTAATTATTTTGTTATAGAGGACATCTCGGGAATGATTAAGAATGTGTATTCTGGTTAAGGATGCTCTTCAACTTGTGAAGGCCAGTTCAATAGCCTTTAGAAATCAGTGTCAATGTAATAATATTCTTGGACTGAAATTTGTATCGCTGATGCAGAAGAAGTAAAATGTTGCAAAGACAAGATACTAAGCAGCCCTTGCTGATTTTTATTGGGCATTACCTCATAATAGGGGAGCAGATGTGTCTTTTAAGCAGTTTTGCCAAGGAAAATTACAGTCTGCCAGCATTGTTTTTCAGGTCAATTTTCAATGTTTACTGTCACTTTCACTGCCTGGTTTTCCTTCAGCAACTTCTTGAAGTTTAGACTTTCTCTGTACACAAGAATTTGTATCCATGTTACATACTTGAGTCTTTCACCTTGATTGCTGCAAAAGCACACTACTGACTCATCAGCCAGGAGCTTATCAGCCAGGCACTCTGGACCTTTTTCTGCAGAGCTGCTGCCCAGGCCTTAATTGTTACATGGTGTTGTGTTTGATTTCCATGAGGCCCATTCCCCCAGCTTGTTATAGGCCCTCCAAGCAACACTCCTGTTCACCATTGTAGCCATCTATCCTCTAGCTGAACCCCACCAAAGACCACAAGCAGTTTAACTTGCTGCCCTTACTGTATTATTTTTTTCCTTTGTGGAGGGGAGGTTGGTCCGACCTGCAGGTGTTTGAGCATGAGTGCTCTGTGTAGGAATGGGTCATGACTGATTTGCAAAGGACAGCTACAAAGAGAATGGAGGCTCTCCCATCACGAGGAGCTACATGACAAAGACAAGGGACAATGGGTGCAGTTGCACTGGGAAAGGTTTCACCTTGATGTAGGGAAGAATATTTTTACAGCAAGAACAATCAATCACTGAACAGTCTCCCCAGAGCTGTGGCAGAGTCCCCACAACTGGAGATTTTTAAGATGCATTTGGGCAGGGTTCTAGGTGATCTCATCTAGGCTCCCTTTCCCACAAGGATTGGACCCAGTGATCTTTGGAGGCCCCTTCCAACCTGAGCTGTTCCTGTGGTTCTTTGTATGAAAGGTTTTATGAAAAGGTAACCAAATATGAGGAAGTGGCTGTGGTAGAATATGACTCTTCAGTGGGTTTGCAGAGTAAATAGAAAGTTTTACCCTTGGTATGAATTTCCTTCTTTTGTGAACAGTTCTTGTAGGTACTCTCAAGGAATAGGTTAAATAAGGAGTAAAGAACTTTAATCTGACTTCAGCTGAATTTGATTCTGCACAGATTGAGGGAGTCAATCCCAAATGTAAGCTGGTTTTACTGTGAATATAAGAACATGCATTTTAACAATATGCACATATAATTTAAAAAGCAGACTTAGACAGCATCTCCTAAGCAGCAAAGAAAAAGTACTTTTTTTTCTCTTAGAAGGTTGTCCTTCTGATGTCAGATCCTCAAGATCCAAAATGTCTGTGAAACTGCCAATGCATGTTGCTAGTTCTAGAGCAAGTTAACAGCTGTTATTACATCATTTTCTAGATGCCAAGAGGGTAATTTATCTTTGTGAAATAAACTTTGTTTGTGAGAAAGAGGAGAAAACAACCAAAAACTCTTCTGTATAGGTTTATGTTCCTAATCAAATAGAGATGCTTTTTGGTGATCCTACACAAAAGTGGATTGTACCAGATTGTTCTAACATCCTTTTTTCTTTTGTCTGCTGGACTTTTTGTATATTAAAGACAAGCATGGCCCTAAACTGTAGGTCAACGACTCTTTTGGAGCACTTAAAAGAGTGTACAACTCTTAAGACCATCAAGATTTGTGGACTGCATTTGTATTGTCTTTTGAATATGGTTACCAAAACATGTTTGATGGCAGTTTGTTTTTATTTCATGAACTTTAAAGTGAGCATCAGAGTAAAACAAACACTGAAAAGCCTAGTGTGATGCTACTGATATGGTTGGGTCAGTAACATATATTGTTTGGCTACCAGGTCATCCCAGTGCTATATATCAGACAGATTATCTAAGTTTTTAATAAAGAACCTGCCTATTCTTGCAACGAGGTGATGTGAAATTTGTGTATGACTGAATTAAAAAAATCTGTTAATGTTTCAATAGTTTAGACACAGATAATGAATTGTCATTCCTTAAAGAAAAGGGGTCAAAAGTCATGTGTGAGAGACTTATTTTCACTTGAGAAAATTAATATAAAGATTTATAATTTTTTTTGCGTGGGAGTAGAAACTCATAAAATGTCTGAGGAAGATTTGGAAGCACTATGGGGAAAGTAAATGTAATAGTGAAAACAGTCAGGAGATCAGAAAAATATCAGTGTCAGGCTGGAAAACATCCAATGGAAAATAATTGTTTTTGTAAAGCTCAAGATATACTGAAGCTTGTTTACCTGATTTATTTGTGGTTTCAGTGGATTTTTGGGTAGACAGTTTCTTTTAGCCAGAATCTGAAGCTTTTTTTTTTTTTTTTTTTTTTTAAGTATAGGCATTTAATTTTGTAGGCTATAATTATATCTTACTGAAGTTCTACAATTCTGTTACTTTTCCCAGTATACCGTTTTTGAAGTTAGCATCTTTGAAAGGATAACATTTATAATTGCAAGGAACTAATCTGTTGTTCTCATTCTGTCCTGCTATTTTAAACACAACTGTGGGGACAAATCCACTGCATAGGCTTTGGAGACAGCAAGAGCTGACAACTGTTTAGGTATGTTCTGAAGGGAATTGTGGGTTATTAACTTTGTTGAATTTTAATGCAGCTTCTCTGGGAATTCATAAGGCAATTTAAAACTGCTGTAGTGTTCATTTTTGCCTTCCTTTGTCTTCAGTTTTGACAGTGATCCAGTTGCATGTATTTGCCATCTGCACTGGTGATCTCTGAGTAACATAAAATAAGGAGTTCATGACTTGATCCATGTGAATAACATTGGTGTAGATATCAAATACGACATCAACTCTTTGCTCGTATGCTATGACATCTAAAAATTACTTTGTTCTGGTTGTGTGTTTCTGCTTTGTTCTGTGTAGATGTCAATTAATCATCTACTAGTTCCCTGCTAATTTAATAAAACACGCAAAGTAGCGATGAGTTTTGTGAATATTGCAGGTTTATATTATGGAAGTTTTCCTACAGATTGGAAACATTTATGTCTCCTGTGTGACAGAGATCATTGTTAAGATATGGGGAATTCATTAGCTATTGTGCAATTGGTCAAGAGGTATTTACTGTTGTTAAACATGTGGGCCCTGATTTTTCAACTGTGTGCCCTATTGTTCATATTTGAACACATTGGGAGGGAATAGTTGCAAGTTAAAAACCTAATAATTTTTTGGTTTTAGTTGGCTGAGGAAACACAATGACCTTTTTTCTGGTAGAATTAATGCTAACTTTCACTTGTCCAGGATGTTGTAATTCAGGGGACAGATGCTTCCTTCAGTGTGGTCTCTAGGTAATGAGTTTGAATTGCTGGATATGTTTAGGAATGGCATTTCTGACTGTAATATCATTATTAAGTGAAACACTGAGCTGAGCTGCAGTGGTATGTACATTTGGAGACAGGCAAGGAGATCTTGGGCTTAACTTAATTCTGACAGTGGATTCTTATGGGATCTTTTAA